AAATTTGCAGTTTCCAAGAACTCTCAAGCTTTGGAAGATGCCAAACTTTGGCGGCAATTTTCTCGACAATTTTTTGCTCTGACACCAATATCTCAACTTCTATTCACGATAGATAAGTACTTTCTACATCAAAATTAAGGTAAATAAGTGAGCTTTAAGATGATATCAATAACTCCACATGTCCCGAAAATGACGATCGCCTGATTCCACTGCGTAGTGACACATTTATGTCAGTTTTATTCTTTTTCACGATTCTCGTTCATAAAAAAAAAAAATTGGAATACAATATAACCAAATGTGGTTGAACATAAGCACAATAATACCCCTCAAAGTGAGCACCCCCCTAGGTCTGTGTGTGAGCCACACAAACATTTGCGAAGCGTGCTCACAAAATGAGTTACTTCTCAGATAAGACGGAAATAGATACATCACACGTTTATAGGTAAAGTTTTTACAATTTTTAAGTATGAAATAATGAAAGAGATATTTACTTAAAGAATATGACATCAATAGAAAAATCTACAAATTTGACCTTAATGTCGATTTTTGGCCAATATCTCCATTTGTGGATTGCGAGAAGTAACTCATTTTGTCACCACGCCCCACATTTGTCTGGCACTGGCACTGACTTGAAACTGACTCTCCTGTCCTCATCCTTATTATCGTCATTTTTTCCTCTACAGCTTTGGTATGTTTGTCACTCTCTTGTGAACTGCAATTCCCAAAGGGGGGATATTAACATGTTCTTTGGCACAGTAGAATCGTAAATGGGCTGATTCATCAATGTCACACTCATAACGGTGCCTGCACTGCAACAGGGAACGGCTGCTTTTTCTTTTCTAATCCTTACTATCGTCCTTTTTTCCTCTACTTCTTATGTATGTTCGTCACTCTTTTGCAAACTGCTATGTTCGAGGTGCCTTGATAGTCAAAGCAGACTTTGTGCTGTTGAGGCTAGAGAGGTGAGCAGAGTAAGCCTGATTCCCATTTGGACTTCTCTGTTGACATCCACCCCTTGGCACCCAAATGACCTTATGCAGTTGTGACTGCCGTAAAACGTTACTTAAAACTAAAGACCCTTGCCGGGAATGAGTTAAAAAAATAAAAGAATTAGCGCAATCGTAAAGATCTAGTTCATTGTTTCTGAATATATCTGCACATAAGTAAAATATTTCACAATATCTTGAGGTAAAAGAAATATAATTCTTAAAAATGCCGATGCGTGTGAGAAGTCCTTTGAGCTACAGATCTATTTATAGCACAGAAATATCAGCACCAGGTCATCAACAAAAATACTGACTGTCAAACTGGGATGATTTAATTAACATTTTTGAGGCTCTAAAAAAAAAATCATCGACCTGATCACACACATGATGTCCAAATTTATACAGAAGCTACACGTACTGAACCAAACTGACTGTTGCATTGGAGCTTTGATTGTTTGCCAAAAATTGTTCTTTTTAATTTTACTTAC